GACGGATAAAAAAATGAATAAATAAACTAACTCATGAGGTGTTCGACGAAACCTGTAATAATTGGTGCCCGATTTGCTAAAAAGCGAGCAAGAGAAGAGAGGATGCTGTTTCTGTATGCGACGATGCGTGCGGGAAGCAGCCTATAATGGGAGCGAGTACGGGGGTTTGACATTTGTTCGTTGTGCAAGCAGTGATCTTCGTTGTTCAAGATTCTGTCGGCTATTCTTTCACATGCGTCGACATGTTTGCACACAATAAAATCAGCCAGAACTTCTCTGGGTATGTCGCTACATCGGGTTAGGGGTTTTATGGACCTAAAAATCAATACAAAATCTTTTTCTTTTATGCCGGGAAAAATACAGGGGAACGATAGAGCCAATGAGGGAGAATGCATGCTACCACAAATTCTAAAATTACGTTTGGGTGAACAGCAAGCTTCCTAAGCCTGAAAGCATAAAAAGAGAGTCTACGAACCTTGTTGTATTCGTTCTCTACATGTAAGGTCCTAGAAAGGTTGTGAGATAAAACGACCCCGAGGTATTTAAGAGTCAGCTTTGGGAATGCTGTGACTGTTAACTACTAGATCCGGTAAATTGTTAAAGGTAGTTTAATAGCGAGAGCCAGATTTAAGGCTGACGGGAACGTCGACACATTTGGAAACATTAAGCAAGAGTGATCGGGGTAAAGACCAACTAAAAACGTCATTCAGACTGCTTTGAAGTTGGTGGAGAGAAGCATCTTTGTCGGTTATTACAAATCTTTCCATGTTTATAGATGCAACCTTGAATAACAAGATTGAACAGCGCTGAGGCACCGTTTGTAATCATGTTCTCAAGATTCTACGTTAGTGATTTATCGCCTGCTGGGAATGTGTTGCGCAGAAGCAGAGTACTATATTCGCATCCTGTCTACTCACGCCTTCTCGATTTCCCCAAACTCTGGAGACCATTCCTCACAACATACGCCGTATGGCACGTTTTCTGTTTTTGGCAGTTCTGCATACTGATCTCGGATGGTATTATCATCAAGTCAAAAGAAGCACTGAATACTTCAGGTAAAACATTCACTGCTAAGCACAAATTGGATCTTGAGACGTTTCGCCGGGAACCGAAGAAATATTTGCTCAATCGTAATTACCAATTGATTTGTTACCAAGGGGTTCATCCGTTCCATTGTACAGTTAACTTCTAGCTGCGATAAAACCTATGGAGCATAATTACACGTTCGCGCATCATTTGTCGTTGTGACGATCTAGCAATTTTAACGAGTTACCCACCAAGATCCTTCACATAGAATATTCGACTTCTTTGCTAAATGCAATTGTGGCTCGTTACCCAATCGTTCTTCTCTTTCCTTCTTGCTTGCATATTTCTGATTGATCGCGTTCTCCCGATCTCGTGGCAATCAAGATCGACTTCAGCGTGCGACTTGGAGCATCTATTCCAAAACGGTGAGAAGCATGCAATATCTGCGGTGTACATTATATTCTCAGTTTTTAATCCCAACACGAAATCGAAGTCAGGGGAATACACTCATTCTTCGCTGACCACACGTATAGCCCAACCCCTCACACACACTTACTTTACTGTAATACGGCTGGCTCCTTGGAAGGGATAAGCCGGCTCCATGAAATAATCATGAGGGTACTTGGGAGTTCGGCACGAGAAACGTCCCCAGCGTCACTCGGCGTTTTTTATTTTGAGGGCGCACCTCTAGCCTTTGCACAACCAAGTGCAAACTGCAAGGCAGCAGGAAGTAAACTCTCGGCTCTGAAGTGAGGGGGTCAATGACTAGTTTTAAAGGGCCAGTCACATCGACCTTTGTCAAGACACCGTCATTGGATTCATGTGGCTTTTAGACAGGAGCCAGGTGACCAGCTTGGAACCCACCACACCCTGATAATGCCGTCGCTGTTTGTTCGCGACTGCTTATTTGTTACGGTATACCACAACTTATTCACAGCTAACCTTTTTCGGTGGAGGTATCCCCCTATCCACAACCCGGCGACGCTCCTGGTAGCATTCAGCTCTGCTTTATCCGAGGGTATACAGGCACATACACACACGAGATGAACTCACGTACAGATTTCACTCTAATCGAATGCAGAAGTCAATTTTTGCCGCTCGGGCGTATCCAGTCCGATCAGTAATAGCACTATTCACACAACAGTGTAATTTTCAGCTTGCGCTCACTCGAACGATGGAACAGTTTTGGTACAGATGAAAAAATAGCTTGTAAAATGATATAATAATGATTGATTGTCAGCAAAAGATGTCAGCCTATCGGACGTATTTGCACGCCTGACTTATGAATCCGGCCTGATACCGTGCGCGAGAAAAAGAATCATTTTAGTTCGTCAATGAAACTGTTTGTTCAAGCGAGAGCTCGGCGGAAAAGACA